GGGTTTATTTTTTTAAAAAGTTATTCAGAAACTCTTTAAAAATTACTATTAAGGTATTTGAAACTGGTGAACACAGTCAACAATTTCTGAAAGTATTTCAGGACTAATGCTGATAATTAAGGTTAAAAAACTACCATAGAATTATAACTAAACAAGGCCCATTAATTGTAGGCATGCCACACTTTAACTAAATTAATTTTCTAAAAAATATGCAGAACACTATTAAAATGTTTTATAAACTATCTTGGTTGGGTTTTGAAACCTGCAAAGCTTAAGTGCTGCTTTTGATGTGCTCTTTTGGAAGGCTCCTCATAATTTTTACACAGGTTCTAACCGATGGCAGAAACACTGAATACCTCAAAAGAGTTCCCTTGTTATGATATAGTCCTCCCCATTTTTAATTCCTGAAGGATTCATGTGTTTCATGTAGTCATTGGTACTTCTGTGTGCCAAAAATAACCCTACAGGTGACTAGAATTGAAAATATAAAGTTTGTTTTTACTTTGTGATTTTAACTATGTGCCTTTCAAATCAATATATTTAAATTTCTTTTTCCCCCTCAATTATCAATTATCAAGCATAATGTCAAGGTATATAAGAAAAACACTGAGGAATATTTTTCATACTTTATACTCCTCAGGTGATTTAAAAGAAATACATAATTCCTGAGTAAATCTTTTGAAAATTAACCAACTATATTTAATATATAAATTTAACAACCAAATTAAATCAATGAATCTGTACTGAGAGTATGTTATTTTCTCTGAAATTTTCTTTTAAAAATCACGTGTGTGCTCATTTGGGTAATTTGTATTTGCAGGAGCAGAAATCCTTTGCAGGAAAAGGTGACTCATATATTTAATGGCAGATCACCATACATTTATGAAAAATACCCAAGTTTTCCTGAGAAAAAAGACCATAGGAGTCCAATCTAAAATTTTAATTTTAGAGGAAAACTTTGAATGGAAATAATAACAGCTTTTATCTTAAGCAGTCTAATTGATGTGCTACTTTGAGTACCTGGGGATTCTTTAGAATTGTAATATTCTCATTCATTTACCCCTCTTAAGTTAAATTATTATTGAATGCCTACTGTGAACAAAATGCCATATATATGTGCATGTTTTATAACCCTTTGAGTAGCACAGCAGTAAGGTAGTAAATGTACTTGTTTTTAATATGGTATTCTATTTATTTTTCACCCTGAGAAACATGAAAAATATTTACCCTGCAGAGTATTATAAGTAAATACCTCCTTAATTTTAGAAGTCTACATTCAGGTAGACTGTGCCCAAAATAAAGAAAGGTATAGCTTCAATTCATTATACACTGTATAAAAATATGTATATGCATACCGTGATCGAGAGATGAGTGTTGGTGGGATGGTATTCAACACAGTTTCTTGTGTGTTTTAAATTGCAACATAAGGGAAATAAATATTGCACACAATTCTTTCAGGATAAAGACAAGGGGACTTGAATCCATAAAACAGCACTTTTCTTGAAGCTAAATTTAAAATACCTAAGATAG